AAGGCTTCAGTGTCCAGGTCATGGATGTTCATTTACCTTTTGTGTGTTCTGTGAACACAGATATCTTGCAAGGGACAAACCTCCATCTTAAGGAGGAAGGCAATTTAGAAAAGATCTGTGATTGCAGATGTCCATGGCCTGAATCAGGTAGCTGTACTAAGAAAAATTGGACTGAGAATGTTTCTTTTCTAAGAACAATACAATTATGACCTTCCTATCCTGTTCTATCTTGTTATCATTTACAAGGAACATGCGTGGGTAACACATACCACAGTTACATAACACTTTTAATTATAAGAGAGTTGTTGCATTTATATATCTGTAGAAGAACTGTATGTTAGAAAGCAGAACTTTTACATTGGAGTCAAATTGCAATTATATGTGGTAAAACCAGATGAAAGTAGAGAGAATATGCCATGATGTGATATATATAACTTCTACTTACGAAACTGAGTCTCAGTTTCAGTTCTGAATAGATTTAAGAACATTGGTATTCTGACACATATCTCTGTCATGCCATTTTGATCAAAGAAACAACATTTTAAAAGCTGGCTCGTTTTCCAACAACAGGTGAGGAAACCCACTCAGTTGGCCGGTGGATAGAGAGAATCTCTTTCTCTTACCGACACTCTCCAGTACATGCGTCAGTTTAATTAAGCACCATCATCACGGACCTTTAGGCTCAGATCACATTATTTTTCTCATGATTACACTTTTATCAAAATTAATTACTAATATTAAACTGTCTCAGTACAATAAACTATTCAACTTCAAGCCTCCTATAAATCAGTACTGCAGACTTACTCCACAAGGACCAAGTGGCTGATGCACAAAAATTAATCACCTCAGTATAGTGTTGTGGCATATAATGTGTGGATCTTTACTTCACATCCACATATTCCTTCAAAGCACAGTCCTTAGACAGAATGGAAACTTTATCCTTGAATTTTCCCTCATTTTAAATTACCCAGTCGTTCTCCATTCAGCAAATGAGGCAAAAAATTAGTATGCAGTTGGCTACCTACGATGCTAAATATTTCCTCCACACTACCAATTCCTCTTGACCTACATCTTGTTTTACACTTTTAGCATAATGGTTCTCACAACCTCCTTATCTGGCAATGTAAACCAAAGGTTTAAAAGACTGCCAATATAAAGACCCAACATTAGACACAGTGCTGAGCTAGTTCAATCCAAATATCATGGTCCTAGAACCTCTGTATAATAAAAAAGTAAAGGTATCCCTGTAACAAGCCATGGAGGCCCATAGGTTTGAGATGTTGAGGTTCCCACATTTTCTAGACAATCAGCTCATAGATGGTGGTGAGGTTGTCAGCTCTATATGACGGCCACTCTTTCCTCCCAAGAACATTCCAAGAATATTCCTGGTACTCATTTCTGTTGCAGGCTGAGTCGACACCAGGGCCACAGTGCGGCATGAAGGGTTAGGTCAATTGAAAAAATCCAGTGACCTCATCAGGACTTGAACTCTCTGAATAATAACTTTGCTTTTATTCTGCAGTGACAGCTTTGTGCTACCAGTTAATCCCAATTATGAGTCCAGAATTGCTCTACACAAGTAACACCCTGAGTTGTTCTAATCTCATATCAGATAAAATGGCAGTGTCCATCCAAGTGTAGGCTGTCACTGGCTAGTAGCCATGAGAAAGAAGCATGTAACTTACCAGAAAGATACATTACTTCACTGTAAATGAAATATTAATTTCCATGGTCTCCACACTAAATTACAGATTTAATGAAGAAATTATCTGTCTAGCACATTATCTTTGTGACTTCCAGAGGTATTCAGACTAGCACAGACTCCACCATGACACGATGTAATCACACATACTGTTGTAGTTAGAGGAATTATGGAGTAATAACTGCAAATGACAATTCTGTTTCAGATGCCTACTATACAACTGACAGAAAAGTTCCTTTTTAGTATTCTCTGTAGCTGACAAAGAGTCCGTATGTAAGAAAAGTGTATTCATATTAAAATAAAAGTGTTTTAAAAATTTAACTGATATTGTTCTGTTAAATCAAGCTGAATATTTCATGAAGAGTAGGCTCTGGGTTGTGAAGTCATATAGTTCAGAGACAGTTCAGCTTTTTAAAGGAAAACTGGGGAATTATGTGCCCTGATACACCTTCCCACAGCTAATAGACAAAGGAATGAAATAAGGGCCAATACTGCATATATTCAGCATTTGGCAAGTCTACTGTACAGGCAATGAATATTCTAGATTTACGAGGGTAAGTCAAATGAAAACATTAAATTTGTAATAAAAAATCGAAATTTTGCACCATTATCCTGTAAGTTGGTAAGCATGCTACAAACAGCATGCAGAATGGCCTGTAGGTTGCATCATAGTGCAGATGCACAAACACCGTCGCAGCACCAGTATAAGATGGCTGCCCCACTTGAGACTTGCACCAGGGAAGTACAGCGTTCTGTTATTCGGTTTTTGTGTAGTGAAGCTGTGAAACCTATTGAAATTTATCGAAGAATGAAGTTTCAGTATGGTGATGCATGTTTGTCACAGCAGCAAGTGTACGAATGGAGTAGGAAGTTTGCAAATGGTGTGACTTCAGTGGAAGATGCTCCTCGTCCGGGTCAGCCACATCGAGTTGTGACTCCAGAGAACACTGCAGCAGTTGAAGCCATAGTGAGGGAAAACCGCCAAGTGACACTGAATGAAATTGCAGCAAGTTTAAACATTAGTCATGGTTCAGCACACCACATTGTGCATGATGTGCTCCAGTTTCACAAAGTGTCTGCAAGATGGGTGCCACAGCAACTGACTCCTGAATTGAAAGACCGACGTATTGATGCTTGTGAAGAACTTCTGCGGCGCTTTGAACGAGGTGATGACTTCCTTGCAAGAATCATTACTGGGGACGAAACCTGGGTTCACTTCCACCAACCGGAAATGAAGAGAGAAAGCAAGGAATGGCACCATTCCTCATCTCCAAAACCGAAGAAGTTTCAAACACAACCATCAGCAGGGAAGGTTATGCTGACTCTCTTTTGGGACGAAAAAGGCGTCATCTTGGAGCACTACATGCCTAGAGGGACCATTGTCACCAGTGCATCATGCTCAGATCTCCTAAAAAATCATCTTTGGTCTGCAATCAAATCAAAGCGATGTGGATTGCTGTCCACAGGTATCCTTTTGTAACATGATAATTCAAGGCCCCATAATGCCCATACAACAGTTGCGACAATCAATGACCTGCATTTTGAGTGTCTTCCACATCCAGCATACTCACCAGACCTTGTCCCAATATGGTTGGACCACTCAAAGAAGCAATGGGAGGAAAGACATTCTGTTCTGAAGAAGAGGTACGCCATGCGGTGCATGAGTGGTTGTGCAGACTACCAAAAGAATGTTTTTCTAAAAGAATTCATGCACTTTGTAAGCGCTGGAGGACTTGCATTGAGCGTGGGGCAGATTATGTTGAAAAGTGATACAGCTTTGTACCACTTGTGCACAATAAATAATACTCAAAAAAATATTTAAGGTTTTCATTTGACTCGCCTACATACATACAGTAATATGAAGGACATGACACCACAGATAAATCATAATACGTACGGAAGTCAAAAATTATCCGCACTCTTGTTTTTCCAATCCATATATAGAAAAGTAGGGGCTGAACAAGTACTTCATTTTTCTATACAGTCTCCTCCCTTTTTGATGCACTTGGTCCAGCGATCGAAAAGCTTGCGTATTCCCTCCATGAAGAAGGTTTTCAGTTGGTTGCGTAACCATTTATGCACCACTTCCCTCACTTCTTTGTCCATAGAAAATCAAAAACCTCGTAAAACATCTTTGAGCGGTTCAAAGAGATAATAGTCGGAAAGGGCGAGATCTGGGCTGTAGGCAGGGCGTTCCAGCGCCATGAAACACAAATGGTTAATGGTTTCAACGGTCTGGCCGTCCTTGTGTGAGTGTTCATTGTCATGCAACAACAACACTTTCTTCGACAATAGGCCTCGGCGTTTGGTGCGAATTGCTGGCTTGAGATTGTTGGCCAGCAAATCACTGTATCTTGCACTGTTGATCATACACCCTTTTTCCAGGTAGTCTTCTAGTATACGCCTTTTTGAGTGCCAAAAAACGGTTAGCATTACCTTTCCCATGAAAGATTGAGTCTTGAATTTCATCTTCATTTGCGATCCCGGGTGTTTCCATGCCATACTCTGGCTTTTGGATTCTGGCTCATAGTGATGAACCCACATATGAATTTCAGCCCCTGACACACCTTCCAATCAGAGAAATTGGATCACTATTCTTTGTTAATCATTGGTGCACACTGCTAGCAGAGCGGCCATGTTTACACTGCCACAGCATCAAGGAAAATGATGTGATCAAGGTAAAACTTCGATCACGTGACCACAGTAGTACCAACTCTAACAATGCATGCATAGGAGGCAGTGTGACAAACCTAAAGATGTGTTATGGAGAAAGTGTGGATAATTTCTGACTTACCCTCATACATCACAACTAGAATATTCAAATTGTAATGAAAATCAACTGCTCTGATATCAACTCCACTATATTTTTAATGTTTCATATACAGACATAAGATTATGGATTTAAATTTATTTTCTATAAGACTGGTAATGTAACTGTGAAATAATTTAATTGGACACCCTTGAAGATGGCTTGAAGGCTAAAATCTGTTGGATGAAATAAGTTATTGATTAAATCACGTTGCATTAGATGGCACTCTCGGAACAGAATTCTACTCCATAATTTAGCAGTATGATCCATTACAACCCTAACGTTCAAAAAACTAGGAACAATATAATTAATATTATTTTATGTGGTACAGGCTGGACCATTTTCGTGGAATAGTTCATGCTCATTAGCTAAGTTTTGGACATACTTGCATTTACTTATCTTGTTGTTTTCTTAGGTTTGTTTTCTAGTTATGGGTCATTGGTTCCTGTTATAATACTATATAGAGTATTAACTGTTGACATTCCCTACCTTGAATGTCGACTGGTTGCACCAATGCTGGCTGTACAAGGCTGTCCTCCCCATGCATGCACCATTCTCTTATAACAATTGGTTCACGGCTTCTTCTAGGTTTCTCATGAAGAAGAAGTCCATAAATACGCTGTCTTAATGGACGAAGGGCTAAAGCTGCTGGAGGCAGATCACTTTCCCTGAAGTCTTCAATCGCTGTACTACATTCATAGAGTAGCCCACTCATCACAGACCATACTTCAGGTGGATTTTCACAGTGAACATGTCGTCTTCTTGCCAAAGACATCAGCTTGTTCCAGTGGTCTTTAGGCTCTCCAGCTGTTAATGTACCAGACAAAGATTGCATTTATCACATCTATAATTTTCAAGTAAATCATCCAAGATTTAATCAACTCACCGTTGACTAACACTGTCTCCAGGAAGTGGCCTGCCACTACATCCAAACAGCTGCACCTTGTTCCCAAGAAGCTTCGAAGTTCATGCTTAGATCAGACCAGTATTTTGTAATTTCATCAATAGATGGCAGCCTTATACTCTTCTGTAGTCTAGCTTTGACCAAGGAATGAATTTTATTCATGAATATATTCAACTCAATTCAATTCAATTTATTTTTGTTCATCAGATCTACATTTGACGATGGCACCTCCAGATATAGAACACATCAAAGCCCAAGTTACTATAAAATCAATCCATAGGACGTCATAAAAATATTATAACTTATATATAACCACTGTTGCAATAACCACTGATACAAGTAAGTTTACTGTCATCGTCAACACTATGCTCCACGGTGTCACACTGAAATACAACTCAAACCCAAAAGGACAATGTTATAATTAACCGTTCAGCGTGGTTTGACGTGTATGTTTCATCAAGGTATTTAAATCGTCTGCGGGGGTTCGACGTCAATGTTTCGTCCAGCTGCACACCTATGTTATAACGCCCATAATAATTGATGGTTTTGATGGTTTTTCGCTGGCCTGTTGTCAGGAGAACTATATTTAATGTGGCACGAGTTTAGGAGTGCTAAGTCATCGTTACATATGCCTGTCTTGCAGCAAATTCCTGTTGCTTCTGGTAGAAGTTTCCTCATTCAAACTGTTACGAATGGCGTGTTTTCTTTCCTATGAAGTTACAAACAGCAGAGACCTGATATGTGCTGTGTTTATAATATCATATTGCCCTGAGCTGGCCACACTTACACTCTCAATTGGAATTCTTAGTAGAGGGATGTCCAAATTTTATTCTTGCAAGATCGATTGATTTCGCACAGTACATGGCAGCCAGTTCTTAGAAAAACGCCACAAATTAAGGCAGAACACTGTGGTCACCCCCTGTGACGATACGGGTGTGTGTGGGGGAGGGAAAAGAACTCATTCCTTCATGTATTATCGCTCCAGTTGACTCCATTTTATCGTACTAACCTTGGTGGTCGTTTTGAGGGATGACCATAAATATTTTTTTGAGCCAGCTAAGCTCTGCTTTCGTTCACTACATACCAGCCAGTTCTTAGAATAACTTCATGAATTCTGTGGTCACCCCTATGACGTCTTATGCCGCCAAAATGGATGGAAAATGAAACGCAGAAGCACCAACACTTGTTATGATAACATAAAGGTTGAATTTACTGCAGCTAATCTGGCTAGCGATACGACTCACGGAGAGACATTTCTTCTTATATTCCCCCCACGGGGAAGAAGGCAAGGCCGCACAGAAGATGTTTTGTTTACGGAAAAAAGAGCCAAATGAGAGATACGCAGTACTGGTGTGGTGAATGTGAGACAGCGCTGTGTATAGTAGAATGCTTCAATGCGTGCAACACTCCGCTCAAATTCTGAACCACCACCGAGATACCGGGCGCTCATATTATAAGGCAAAGTTATAAAACAATCTTTTAAGATCATTTTAGTGAAAGTTTCATGCTTCAAGGCGTACGATACACTGCTCAAATTCTAAACCAACTGCTTCCATTGCCGAGATACCGGGCGCTCATATTATAAGGCAAGGTTATAAAACCACCTTTTAAGATCATCTTAGTGAAAGTTTCATGTCCCTATCTCATATAATTTAAGAACAATGATGAATAAATCATTTTCGAGCAAAATTTAAATGGACGGCTGAATATATTACCGCCGGAGAGACACGGCAGCGGAATTTAAATGACCGCACAAAAGGGCTAAATACAACATGCATATAATACTTGCATTGCAACGTATTATCATAATAAAATACGTATTAACATCGTCTATAATAGAGAAAAAGCACATCTAGAGAATTATAGGTATCATACAATAAAAGTTTTTTAAAAATGACTAATGTTGTTTTATTTATCTGTAATTAATACAATCATCCCTTGCTTTCCATTTATAAGACTCATCTTAAGAATAGAAAGAGCCCACCTGCAAACATTTTTAAGGGAATATTTGAATTTATTTAAGTCTTGTGATAAATTTTTTATACCATGTGGTAATTTATTAAATATTCTAATCCCAGTGTAAGATACTCACTTTTGAGCCCTGGTTGATTTATAAGTTGTATAATGTAATTCAAATCTTTGTTTAGTATAAATGTTATGAATATCTGAATCTGTTAAATACTTGTCCATGTTTTTAACTATGAAGACCGATATTGAAAATATATACTGTGAATAAAATGGAAGAGTATTTAATATTTTAAACAGAGGCCGACAAGTTTCCCTATTTCCTGCTTTCATTATTAACCTAATTATACTAAGTGCTATCGGGAAGTTCCCGGACTGTTACTGTTGTAACTGCCTAGGTGAAAGAAGATGAGGGGGAAGGCCAAGGTCACACTTCCACAACCCTAACACATCAATCAATCTGCCATGTGACACCACACTGCGAACACACATCGTTTTTACATAAGTGCTTTTTCAATTTCATGTTTCGTTTAGTCTGTGATGGATGGTAAAATTGTGAAATGTGTCTGCACCTAGTTTTGCGTTAAGCTCAGTAAATCCACTACCAAAACCCTTGAAATGCTTCATGAGGCTTTTGGAGAACATTCTTCAAGCCAGACAGTGGTTTCTGAATGGCATTCACGTTTGAAGGTTGGTTACATATATACATACATTTCATAAGTTCAAAACAAACGGGCATGAAGGTCGTCATATCAAAAGAACAAATACAAAAAATTTAAACAAACACACAGATAACAGAATAATTAGAACTAATTGTTTATGTTATGCTCCACATATTCAGAAACTGTATAAAAGGAATTATTCATAAGATATAAAGACAGCTTCCCCCTCGTTGGTGTCTCCACCTTATCGTGGTGAGGGGGTTTGAGTATGCCAAGGACCCTGAGAGCTATACCAGCGGTAGCGTAGCTACTGGCAGGGCCTCCCTTGCTGGACAGGTCAAAGGGTAGGCATCAGACGAAGAGAGACACCAAAAACTGATGCCGGAAGCAGCGTCATCAGCAGCGACTTGAAGCACAGAGCAAATGATGCTCGACATGGTTCAATTTCGTATAGCAACAGGCGTGACCAGAGTGGTTTGAACGGCTGTTGTACTGCGATGTGGAAAGCAAATGGAAAAACTACCACATTATCACTTTTCCTGGATAGTCTCTTCCCAAAAACAGAAGATCGCATTAAGTGGAGGAACTGTTTTGGAAGAGGCTGTGGACCTGTCGTCTGACAGATTACTCATGAATGAATGAATGAATGAAAGACAGCTTATTTTGAAAGCTATTCTATCCTCTTTAAGGATTTGAATGGTTATGGGCAATCTGTTGAATAGTTTAATAGTGGTAAACATAGTACCTTTCTGAAAAGCAGAAAGATTTGAGTTTGGCAAATATAATTGCTTTCGATTTCTTGTATTCAAACCATGAACATCTAAACCTGAACAAAATTTAGTTTAATTATCAATCACAAACATCATCAACGAGAAAATGTATTCACATGACAATGACAGTATATTCAATTTCTTAAAAAGATCCCTACAATAAGTCTCTAGGTCCCACTCCAAATATAATCCTTATTACTTTTATTTGTAATTTAAAAACTCTAACGTTATTCGTTGAGTTGCCCCAGAAAATTATTCCATACTTAAGAACAGAGTGGAAATGAGAAAAATACACCATTCGTAAAAATTTTTTTACTCATAAAATAAGATAAACTCGTATTACAAAAATAGCTGAACTAAGTTTAGAGAGAATATACTCTACATGACTCTTCCAATCCAAATTCTTATCAATTTGCAGACCCAAAAATTTATCACAGGAACTTCATTCATAAACAAATTCCTGCTAGCAACTGCCAGAAAGTTATAAGACTGTTTTAGAGCAAATCTAATAATATTAGTTTTAGTGATATTTAAGGCCAACTTATTAGCTGTGAACCAATTTTCAATAAGAGACAGTGTACCCATGACTTTATGCTTAAGCTCAGCATGATTATTACAGGTAACCAAAATACTGGTATCATCAGGAAAAAGAAAAACTTTAGCCAGTTTATTAATATATGGAGGCAAATCATTAATGTAAATAATAAACAGAAGTGGTCGCAAAACCAACCCCTGAGGAATCCCCTGCTTAACTCTTTCCCAAGATGAAAAATAGTCCTGACCATTATTAGCTTTAATGAACACTATTTTCTATCCAATAGATATGATCTGAACCAGTTTAATATACAACCCCAGACACCATAATACTCTAGTCTAGATGTCAATATCTCATATTTAACACAGTCAAGAGCCTTAGCAAGTGACGCTGATCATTCTGAGCCCTTATTTATTTGGACGATTATAGATGACCATGAAATTTATTTCTAATTAATTCTCGGTAATTTTAATTCCAAAAGTCTTATGTTTCAATATTACTGGAAATGTATTGTGATCTTTAATATCGTATTTCATTGTCTGGGACGTGCAATACGGTGTTTATGTTGAAATTTCTAGATTCTGGCAGGACCAAGGAGTCCGGAGTTCTGACATTTACGAGCAGTCATAAATTTAGCTCGGTTACAGGGAACCGGACGTGCCTAAAAGGAAGGTCAATGAGAAGGACAGGTCAGAACTTGTTACAGTTGACTGCGAATGAGGGCCAGTATGATTGAGTTGCCTTGTTCAAGCTTCCTTATGGAAGATGGGATGACATGTATATGTCCACACCATAGAGAATTCGAATTCTTTCGAATTCCCAGCGTGAGGTGTGCAAGCCATTCCACAAGGGAGACTTTCACCATATTCCGAAGTGAACAGACGTGACCCTTGCATGCTCCGAGACCTAGCTTGCAGATCGTGTAACGCTATAACTTAAAGCATAAGGATACATAAAATTAACAGTGGTTTGGAGAACAAAAGGTGAATAAACATCAATTGGATCAACTCCCAGAATACCGCTTTCTTCAGCATCGCTACCCTGAGACTCATGCAAACCGACCCAGCTAGTTTCCCGTACCTATACTGATCTTCCTTAGATTGATCTGTGAGGACAACTTGCAGTGGCCATCATACACTGTCCTAAGGTAGAAACATGTGTAGCAGGGATAGCACCATTCCGACTGAGCTGATAAAAACAAAGGCTGGTTGGAAAAGAGCGGTGTTACAAGGTCACAAAAAATTCCTGCAGTTTGCAGTTTGTCATTCCAGGCCTGAAGTATGCTAGTCGTAAAAGAAAAAGCAGCATGGTCTGTTTAGATTTTTTTTCCTAAAGCCAAATTGCTCCTGCACCAGAATATTATTGACTTGTAGATGCTGATTCAATCTACAATGCATAACTTTTTCCATAACTTTACTAAATACGGTCATCATAGAAATAGGTCTATAGTTCGTAATATCAACCTTATCTCCTTTCTTATTACAGCAAACTTCAAGCGTTCAGGAAATGCACATATTAGAGATATTACAGATGTAGGAAAGGGGCGCACTTATAAAGACGCTACAAAGTTTTAATATTTTAGATGAAATCCCATCATAACCAGAGGACTTCTATGATTTTAAAGAACAAATTATGATGAACGTTCAGGGTGACCAAGCACCAGCAAAGAGACAGAAAATGTTGAAAAAGTTTGAGAACTCATCCATGAAGACCATCGCTGAACAATCTGTGAGCTTGCAGACACCATTGGTATCAGTTACGGAATTTGCCAAGAGATCTTAATGGAAAATTTGAACATGCACCACACTGCTGTGAAGTTTGTTCCCCAACTCTTGACAATTGATCAAAAGCAGTGGGGTGTAGATGCCGTAAATATGTGTCTCGAGCTATGAGAGAAAGCTAATGAGGACTCAACTTTTATCTCTAGGATCATAATGGGTGACAAGAGTTGGATTTACGGTTATGACCCAGAAACAAAGCAACAATTTTCACAGTAGAAGAGCCCACAATCACCAAGAGCGAAAAAGGTGCATCAGATCTGGAGTTCAACAAAGAGGATGCTCATTTTCTTTCCCATATGAAGGTGATTGATTGCTCACCATGAATTTGTTCCTCCTGACACTATGGTCAACTCTGACTTTTACTGTGACGTTTTGAGATGTTTGGGAGAAAATGTGCAATGAAAAAGACTGGAACTTTGGTGCAACCACAACTGGCTTCTTTGTCACAACATGCCTGCCCATATGTCCTTGAAAACCAAAGAGTTTGTGACTAACAACAATATTATTGTTCCCCATCCTCCCTACTCGCCAGACGTAGCACCCTGTTATTTCGCTTTTTTTCCCAAATTGAAAATGAAACTGAAGGGATGATATTTTGAAACAGTTTCTGACACAAAAGGGAATCACAAGCGGTACTCGACAGCATTAAGGAAAATTACTTCCATCGTGCTTTTGAACCATGAAAAAAAATGATGGGATCACTGCATACATTCCAAAAGAGACTATTTTGAAGGGGATAGCAGCCAAAATTAAATTAAGCCAGCATCTTTTTTTGACCTAGTCAGGGAAATTTCTGACACATCTCATACACCAAAGAAAATCAGCAAATAAAATAACACTACAAAATCAGGGACTCTGTGCCATTTCAACACAGCATTAACCCTTTGACGTGGTCATTTAAATTCCGCGGCCGCGGCTCCTGCGGTAATATATTCAGCCGGCCATTTAAATTTTGCTCGAAAATTATTTATTCATCATTGTTCTTAAATTCTATGAGATAGGAACATGAAACTTTCACTAAAATGATCTTAAATGGTGGTTTTATAACCTTACCTTATAATATGGGCGCCCTGTATCTCGGCCATGGAAGCAGGTTGTTTAGTATTTCAGCAGTGAATGGTACGCCTTGAAGGATGAAACTTTCACTAAAATGATCTTAAATGGTGGTTTTATAACCTTACCTTATAATATG